GAATCCACCATATTAGCTAGCGGTTGTAAAAAAAAAAGGTATTTCTTTCCCACCTTTCTCTCGTTGCGTTATTAAATCTTTCTTTAACCGGTACAACTTACGAATGCAAACTTTATTTGTACACAGTATCGCGCGCATATACTCTCGTACATCCGGTCCAAAATACAAAACAAGAACGCGCTCTTCGTGAATGAGAAAGTATAAATAGGCCTTAAAAATATAGTTTAACCGACTGACGCGATCGCTTGTTAGTAGTTGTTCATCAGGCTGCGCGCACTTAAGTTATTTAAACTAAAATTAAATATATTATAAAATTTAATATAAAATATAAAAGTCTTTATGAATTCTTTAATAAATGTGACAAACAAAAGGTCGAAGTGATTCGTATGCATAAAAATAATCGAGAGTTTTTTTTAAAGTCCTTTAATCCTTCAATTATTAAAAAAAGTAAGCCTGTAAAGAATATATACACATGCAGAATAAAACCTTATCATTATAAGAAAAAGGTAACTAAGTAAGTTGTGTAAGTCTTCGGTGTGCATCTTTGCAAACACATTGCCGCAATACGAAATTATATGTATATCTACGGCTTGGGTGAGGATTAATTTTTACTTAAATGAAACTTCTTTCTTCCTTACACATCTTCATAAGAAATAAGTGAAAACACAATAGTGGGGCAAAGCCAACCGTTAAATACTCTATACCGTCCTACAAACTACTACAAAAAACCCTTTTGTAAGAGAGGACCCAAGTGTGAATCAATGTGATTTATTTATTCTTTTAAACCTAATGTCGCCAAAAAAAATTTATATATAAAAAAAGATTAGAGCGTTGTTCCTGCATAAAGGCTTCATTCTTCCCTATAAATAACTACACAAAAATGGAAGGCGGTTCAAAAAATATATAGAACTTTCACAGATTTCACATTCATTGAGTAGACTTTATTGCAAAATTTCGCTTTTGTTTTTAATATATACCATTATAGATGAAGTGAGCTCAAAAATACTCCGATCCAATCTAGTTTCAATGGCATTTATCCCTGAGACAAAACATACCAGGTTGAGCACGCCGATTACACGGACCAGCATTTGGCGAATAGCACGAACCGACGCATTCGAAATGATTTGCATAATAAATTGTGGCTGTGTCTCAACTCTTGCATATCTTGTGTCCTTACCACAAGTAATGTTTTAATATTTCCCTGCAGTCTACGGTGTAAATATTTTAAAATGTTCCGTTTAAAGCTATTCTGAGTGGATTCAACAAACATTGTGGGCGATTAATAGGAATAAATCCTAGAAATCAATTTTGGCGACTTTGAAATATCCTCGTCTTAATTGTTAAGCAAATCGCTTCTCCATATATAGGCTTAAGATTACCCCTTATCCTGCTACATAATTTTAGGAGGTAAAATATGTTTTTTATAAATTTATGGGATCAACTTTTTCTTTAAAAATTATTACATCTTTTCCAAGCGCTACAACAATAACATTTTCGCCAAGCGAATCTCTGCTGGACAGTTGCAGCTCAATGTCTGGCTTGTTTGTGTCTAGCTTCCTTACTACACTAACAGATGTCTACGAAACGTGTTTGTGTTAGGTTTAAAGCTTTTCCAAAAAAAAAAAAAAAAAAGTTAGCATTGCTTCACGAATGTTACCTTCGAGTAGATATGAAAAGTTGGTTCCAAACTCGGGTATATAATTTCATATTTTCTTCCTGCCTTCTCCATCATTCTGAAATACGTAAAGTGTAAAATCTACGATGCTGTCTTTGACAAATGCAACAATAGGGCCAACAGAATATTTGACCACGAAATGAAATTTTTAGACTAAAGAAAACAACTAAGAACATTTTATTCGATCGTGACCGAATCTTTCATACCCATCGCAGTAATCTTGAAAAAGAAAAAAAGAAAAATATTTTCGTGGGCCCGGCTTATTTCTTTTGTTTTCAAACTAAAAATTGCTGTCACCTAAGCCTGTGCGTATTGTCGGCGGGTCCTTTGAAAAGTTCAGATCACTTTCGAATTCTTTTGCGATATCTTTATTTTCGTTATCCGGAGAATGCGTGCCACAGGCACTACACAGTTGGGCAGACTGGTAGAGGGACAGACAAACAGATAGACATACTTAAATGCATTTCAAATTTGAAACCGTCCAAGAATTTACACACTTCACGGTGTTCTTGAAGCTTACTTCTGCGCGTTTTAAAGATATTGAAAAAAAAAATTTAATTTTAATTCAATATAATATCGGATAGGCGTAGTCAGTTCTTCAGCATTGTCCATAGAATACCAAATTTTTGTACATTTATCTGTCTGATCAACTTTTCCTTCCTTTTGAAAAACGGAGGTGTTCTCACTCCGCGTAGCACTGTAGGCGTGTTCTTCGCCCAAATTGGACCAACCTGGGTGCAAGAACTTCCAACGTTCTTGCCAAGTTTGATGTCGATAGTTTCAGTTTTGCGGCCAGGAGAATATTTATAACAGGCATTACACAGACGGAGAGACGGCCAGGCGGACATGCTTAAATCGATTCCCCCTGTGGGCGTTGCAAGCGTTTTGGCATATGAATATATCCCCTATAATGCGGTGACGGGTATAAAAAGCGTGCATGACTGTTTTCAAATTTCCTACGCACCCTGCACTACTTTGATATACGAACCTTCGTAACTGGTAACGTTATTAGCTCAAATGATAAACTCTTAATTAGCTCCCCTTCATCAACTTTCTCAATTAGTAACGTTGTTAGCTCAAATCATAAACCATTAGTTAGCTCACCTCCACCAACCTTCTCAATTAATAACATACTTAGTTAGATAGTTAACGTTAATTTTCCACAACAGTATTGATAGAAAATCTTATAACATTTAATTAAACTTAAAACAATTAAGAAAATGCATTCGGTCTTGACCGAATTTTCTATACCCATCGGACATATGGATAGACAGGCAGACGGACAGACGGGCATCTCTAAATCGATTTAGAGTTTCATGCTGGTCAAGAATATATGTGCTTTGCGGGATCTCCGATGCTTCCTTGCTAGCGTTTCGACAAAATGAATGTTCGGCAAGGGTATAAAAAGATGTCACCTTACAAAACATCAAACACAGAGATGTAAAGATTTTAAAGTTAATATCATACGCAGTGGATGTGAATATAATCTTAAAAAGGTGAAGCAATTTCGAAATTAGAAACAGAAAGTTGGAATACATTTTACTCGTTAACCCACGACCTACAGCAGAGAGCTTAAAGTTAACGAAAAATTGATTGAATAGTGGATGGGTATTGAAGAGTAAAGATTCGTGGTTTTTTTATACTCATCACAACTTGAGTGCAAATAGGTTTTCTTCACACAATAAAGGTCATGAAAGGTGGTAAGTCAGAGAAGATTTGTGCGACCTTGTGCGGACTGTCGTCTCGTATTTCTCAACAATACACAAGCGTTGTAACGAAATTAATCTGCCGTCGGTTTCTATGCTGAATCTATGGCCAGGCAATTAAGTGCCGCATTTACATAAGTAGGCTTGTTAAGACTTAAACGTTGAGAGTTCTACGACTAGTGTAATTATCGAAAAATTATCGAGCCTAGTAGACTCATAGCTATATGATTAGAAAAAAAAACGTTTTTGTCAATGTTACAACACAATTTTAAATAATTGATTTGAGTTAATAATTACGTAAATTATGCAAAATTTTTCCTGATCACCTTTCTATATTCATAATAATCACAAGGAAGTAATAAGCTAATGATACCAAAATATACATAAGAAAAAATGTACAGACAGTTCAAACGGCTTTTATGGGCCGCCTGCCAACCATTCCAATAAACACTAGTTTAGTTGTAAAAGAAAATCTTACATTCCCACTCTTTATCCTCCATCATATTTAGCCAGTGGCAGATGAGATCACTAGCCTGGCCAAAAGGGATCCGGTCTTAATGCAAAATTCCGATCCAATCTCGCGGTATGTACAGCATTAGCTTATCCTGTCTGTTTGATTACCGCACTTTGTGCAGCCTTATCCGCCAGCGAGAAGAATGACTCGGTTTCGTTTCGTTTCAGCAGAGATTCGCAAACGACCATCCGATCCATAAAATTTTTCACTGCTAAGTGCATATTTTTGAAAAATGTCGAGTTTCTATCCAGCCTTATGAGGATGGTTCGAAACACCTATCTGGTCAATGCTCAATTTATCAACGATCTTATAAAACGATAGGTGTCGGTCATCCTCAGTTTCTATAAGTTGTCCAATTTATCAACAATTAATCGAACGGACAGTCACTTGCCTTTACCATTTCAGAGCAGAGTGATGGCAAGTCACATGCGTGCTCATGCCGCGATCGAAGTGATTTTGTAAAATAAACGAATATTTTCGGGATTTTGAATAAGCTTCAAAATCCAACTAGTTTGGACTGAAAACCTAATTTTTCTTTCAAACGATTCAATACCGACCCTTTAATTTGAGACTATTGTACATATGCATAGGTAGACTAGATTTAAGAATCTTATGTCAAGGCTCATGTCTATGTATTTGGAGGTTACACTTAGTATGTTGCTCCAATGCAAGAAAGCTGTGCTCTGAGTTCAAGCAAAGGTGCCATTAACTACGGTAGTAGTAGTTGCTTGAATTCCGATTGATACGCATGGGTACAAAATGACTTGAGTTCTCCCACTCTTCGAAAGAATTTCAAGATGTCTGACATTTTTGATAACCACAAATTTAACCTTGCTACGATTTATAGAGTTATTGCCATTTGGAACTTAGGCAGATTTTTCGAATCGAAAGGAATATTTAGAGGCGTGTGTTTAGCTCTAAAAATATGTCTATTCGATAAGCCTAAATAAAGCAAAGAAAACATTTGGATATGAGTAAGTAAGTGTCGACTACCGATTCGATTTGATTACAAGCAACGGAAAATAAAGACATCTGCACTAAGGATTTTCTAACCATTAAGCGCAAAAGTTGAAGTTTTTATTCATTACATACATTATTTCTACAGGTTTTTTGTGACTATGACTAAAAGAAGAGGGCTGCTACTGCAAAACGCTCTCGTCGTTGTTTTGGGCTGGATTTGCACGTTAGCTGGAATATATTTGTATTTCAATTGGGTCGATGTATTCACACAATGGCGGGGCATGGTGAGTGTTTATTATTATTCTTTATTATCGTATTATTTAGATTTCAATCCATTCAGATAGTCAGTTTGGTCAAAATAATGCAATAATTGGCTCGATGACCGCGATCTGTAGACTGATCCCAATCTTCCTATATTTTACCTTTTAGACTTTAACAAATTTAAATTGACATCGGACTGTGGTAAGAGATAACTGTGTGACGTATACATGACGGTTGATAGCAAATGCGATAAATCAGTTTTCTTTTGTTTCAATTATCGTCTTCGTTCACAAGCCTTTGTTCAACATGCAGCCTATAAGTTTATGGGATGTAAACAAGCAGAGTTGAGCAGTGGAATGGCTTACCACCAAAGGTTGAATTTGGGTTAAAAGCGGGCGCAGTGTCCACGCTGAAAACCAATAAGAGAAAACTTTCTCAGGTATTATCTCAGATCAAGGCTTAGAATTCCAAGCTTATTTAGTAAAAACGTTGCATTTTGATTGTCCCCTGGAGGCTAGAAGAGAAAGAAAACTATCATAGTAAGGTAAGGGTTATAGGATCACTCCAGTATTATACAATGAAAATTGGTGCTTAGTTTTGGCAAAAAGTATTGGAAAATTTGTCCTTTCCGTTTCTTCTTTTAAAGATGATTTTTACTATAATCAATGGTATCTTTTCAACTTTTTTGCTACTTATATTGATATCTTCTTGTCTTTCGCGACAGCTCTTCTTTCATTTATGCCCATCTTTAAGATAGAATACCATCACCAAAGCTTTTTCTATGCGCGCTGAATCAAAGACATCAAAAACAGACTATTGGGACGTATTCTTGGATTGGGGCTGGCCACTGGTCGTAAGCCTTTTGGTACTATGCAATGTTTTTGGGGCTTTGCTGTCATATTTTCAAAAGCAAGACGGGGAGACAGGCATGCTATCACTTTTTGAATCGGTCTGTATAATAAAATGCGATGCAAAGTACAAAAGTCACCATGTGGCCTGTGGCGTCGTTGTGATGTTACTAAGAGTCGGAAAACGTTGCAAGATAAATGCATAAAATAAGTTAAGCCACCATAATAGACACAGACACAGCGGTAGCAAGTGTCAAAATTCCCGTTACTTTCTCATCCAACCTGCGAACGTAGGAACAACCTAAAAGCCTGGTGTAAGGAATTCGTTTGTCAGGCCACAGGAGTTAAGTTCAAATTAGCTTAGACCGGCTCAAAGGAAGTCGTCGATTCGGATTGATCTAAAAATATCTATGAGCATAAAAATATTGAAATAAATTTTTGAAATCTGTTTTCATTCTGACAAAACTGCATAAATCAATTTTGCAAAAAAGACTTCATCTACGTGGGCATGCACTCACAAGAACTAAATCAATCACAACAAAGGAATCATAGAAAATGAAATCAATCCAACGAATAAATAAAAAAAAAATTGGTTCCCATCCCATATGTATTTAGTTGCCGTTGGCCTTGACCTAAAACGTTGTAATGTCACTAATTTCATGAAAATATCTCCCAAACTGCAATCTATAGGTTGAACGCAATATCAATGCATATCAGACAAGTAGATCGATAGATTTTCACAAAAAAAATGATTTTGAATCGATTGTTGTAATAAGAAGAAAGCCTATATCATATATTTCTGCATGTTGTATGTATCGGCTTAGATTTAACATAACCTCAATAGCAATAAGTTTTATGCATTCTCGTCGAGTTACTGCTTCTTCAGATTTTCTTACCTTTGCGGATATTAATGCATTAAAGCTAATCAATGCCTGGAAGGCCGGATATCCCAAACGGATGGACGTATAGGCTAATGGATAAACACAATCAGTTGAGAAAAAATTCGAGCTATTGATAGGGTCAGTTTTCGGTTTTACGAATTAATTAATTAATAAAACTCATAGCCGTATGTAATTCGTTCATAACCTCTCGATTTTGCCACATCCAACGCATGTCAACACTGATTTTAACTGTTCGTATATTTTTAATTGATTTTGATTTTTACCATTTAGCAAGGGTATCTCAGACCAGGCACACAGTTATTTAGCATTTGGAAACAATTACCGGTCCCCGTGACCTTGGATGTCTACTTGTTCAATTGGACAAATCCTCAAGAGTTTTATCGAGGCTCGAACAAAAAACCTCATTTTGTAGAATTAGGTCCGTATCGGTTCATCGAAATACCTGACAAGGTCGACATCGTGTGGCATACAAGCAATCATTCCGTGTCGTATCATAAGAAATCGGTATTTCATTTTGACCCTGGGAACAGCAAAGGAAGTCTAAGCGATAAAATTACTAGCGTAAATACTGTGGCTTTGGTATGTACACATCGTTCATATATTTCTTCCTAGAGTGGGTGTAATGGTTCTCTTCTCTTCTCTTTGCAGACGACCGCGCTCAAATTTAAAGATGATAGTAATTTTCAAAAAATGCTCGTAGCACGCACCCTTAAAATGTATAACGCAGGCGTATCAATTACAAAAACAGCCGATGAATGGTTATTTACCGGTTACACCGATCCTTTGCTAACTATTGGAAACTTACTATCTAAATTTAATAAATACATAAAAGTTCCCTATAGTCGAATCGGATATTTATATGGGGTTAGTTAGTTGGCGAACAAGTCATCTAATTTGATTTTTGATAGAATGTAAAAACAAGTCTATCTTCCCATGTAGCGTAATAATAGCGTCGCTTACGAGGGTTACTTTAATATGTTGACTGGTGCCGATGATATAAGGAAATTGGGACAAATCCATAGGTGGAACTATAAAAAGCGGAATGGAATATTTGAGGGTGAATGCGGTCAAGTAAAAGGGTCTGCTGGCGAGTTCTACCCACCAAATTTAACACCTCAGGATACCTTGTGGTCGTACGTCCCTAATCTCTGCCAGGCAATACCTCTCGATTATACAGAGAGTGTGCAATATCACGATCTTACTGCTTACAAGTATAGCGGGGGAGAACACTTATTGGACAATGGTTAGGTTCAGGAAAATTTGTTGAAAAATATTTCCCACTATTTTATAGATTTTCTTATAAATACTGTCTAGGAACTTTATTCCCTTCAAATAAATGTTTCTGTGTTGGAGGTAAATGTGAGCGTTCCGGGGTGTTTAATATTGGCCCCTGCGCATACAACACATCGGTGTATATGTCTTTTCCCCATTTCTATAAAGCTGATCCGTATTATTTGGATGCTATCGAAGGCTTGAAGCCAAAGAGAGAAAAACATGAATTCTTTATGATCGTAGAACCAACCTCAGGAATTCCTTTGGAACTAGGTGGAGGATTTCAAATAAATTATCTTTTTGAACCTATAAAATATCTACCGTAAGAAAATCTTTTTTTTGTGAACTCAATTTTTATTCATTGTGTATTATACAACCAATCACATCTGATCTATTAAATCCAGCCATTCTATATACATCATTGCCGATATTATCCTTTCGTTCTCATCTTCTCATCTTCTTTCTTTCTAGCTATTATAAATTATAAGCATCGTTCATTTTATCTCATTCCATTTTAGACCTTTCGATCAAATCCCGCGTGCATTTATACCGACAGTGTGGATTGAAACGAGATTACAACTCAACCGAGAATTGACGGCGCTTATTAGTTCGGTACCTTTTTTCACATGGATAGGTCAGATAACTTCTGTAGTGTTATCCATTTTGGGAGTAATGTTATTGTGCTGGTATCCCGTCAGATTTTTTATCCTCAGCTATATGTGCCCGAAACAGAAAGTACACTTCTTATCAAGGCCGTCTGATAGCACTCACTTAACAAAAACTTCATTACACATGGAATCATTAAACGATGAAGAGACGATAATCATTCTACAGCAGAAACCTCCTAGTTCTGAACTCATCAGTTAGCCAATGAGTATTAATTTTACACGTATCTGGTAACGTATTAGATGGTAGTATTAGTTCTAGGGCCCTAGGGAATATTTTTAGATTTTAATTTAATATAACTCTTAGAATATAATTAACGATTTGGGCGGAGAAGGTAGAACTATTTCACAGTCGGTGTGTGAATCTCAACTAAAGCTAAACTTTTTAATCGCATCAATTGCAGCATTTTTAGCAAGTAGGCCGTGAACGATGGATGGATCTAGCTTAATTACGCTATAATGTTATCTTAAAAATTTCACTTAATTGAATTTTAAACTGTAAGATTTATATATCTATATGTGTATATTCTACATAAAACTCTTCTTCAATTCGAAAATTCAGATTTGGAAAGAGAAAGCTTATGGTCACCTTAAAATTATCAGGAGACTATCTATCCTTTTTCACTAATTGCAATAACTATAATAATAGTAATAATAATAGGAATAATTTTTAAAAAACTGAAATATTTTTCCAGATATGAATTTTATGAACAATAAACTAAAAACTCCTTTTACCTAAATAAACTGTACTACAAATTTGCAGACGTTGTCAGCGAATGAACAAATAAAAGAAAAGAAATTCTATACGAACTATAAAATATTATAACACTTGCCGTAAGCACTACACAACCCAAATTACGACAATGCTCGAGATATATCTGGAGTTCTAGACACGCTTTAATCGACCGTAAACACGTTAACTTTCCGTTGTACGCGGTTCCTCCCGCACATGCGAGTTACACTTTAATTTTGCTTATATACAGTTGGTGTAAAGGGTACGAATGTCGGCTGCAGTTAGGTAGTCTTTACACCTAGACCCTTGACTGCATCTTTCGACACTCGAAATACGCGTTCTGTCCAACGAACATCATTTCGTATTCTCATGTCCAGAACATCATTGACACTGCCAAAGAGGAGGAGTTGTTCACCACTTCTTATTAGCTAAAAACCATTCTGCTATTTTTATGAGGTCTCGATTTATGCGTCGTTCGCCATGCTGTCTTCCGTAATGCAGTTGTTGGCCCCTTCAATTGATTCGTATAAAGTTTTTGCTATAAACAGCTAAGCAAACTCACTATCGAAAGATTACGTATAACCCTGAATCGGCGACTTTGTTCGGTTTTCTTGTCTATTTCATATCTTCGCTCATTCCAGATAGGTACAATTAAGCAAGACTTAAACAAAAATTGTTGTTAAACATTTTCGCTCTCTTATATAATTTTTGCGACTTGAATATTTTTAAACCAAGTAGCTAAACGAACGAATACTCCTGTACTCGCGTAGTTCAAATATAGGAATATTTCCCAGGAATGTGATATGCATTGTACTTGCACTTGATATCACAAAATGCCTCATAGCTTAATCGTACAATAAATTAATTTTTCATTCACCAATTCACAACTAATTAAGCCTGTTATTGTAAGCTATCACGTTCATGTCTGAACAGGAATATATCGCCTCAGTATCTAAACTTGAAATAATTCCGACAATTTATTCTATTAATATGTTTGAAAAATAGGTTAATCTCTATAGTTTTAAGATTTAAAGATTTAAAAATTGACAGGAGCTGGACTAAATGTATGCAAACAAAAAAAAAAAAAAATTAAAAAAGAATGATTTTAAAACACAAAACACGATATAATACTAGGGCTGGAGCAGATGGCAAACGTTATGCCTCTAGAAAAAGCATTTCGCTTACTCGCCAAATGTTTCATTTCATAAATTCTACCTCTTGAGAATCATCTGGCCTTACCTTTCATTTACAACTTCATTTCACTCAATTCCTTTTCTTCCTTCTTTAAAATATTTTCTGACAAGATTAATAACTTCAACATTCTAAAAACTGATTTACATAGCTTATTCTGCTCTTGTTTGTCCATATTTGCGACCTGTAATTAAGTTCTAACCAGCGAGAAAATCCACAAATATTCCGGCAATGACAAACCACCGTTGTTCGAACTTGTTCAATACCAAATGGAAATATTTTCCGCTAGTCTTTACTGATGAATTTAAGTGCGATGTTGTAGGCAGCGGCGTTTGCCTTCCGGATATCACTATAGAAGCCTACTTCTCAAATCACGTTTGTAGCACTATATTTTCGGCTGAATATCTTGCAATCCTAGAAGCCATCCGCTTAGCGAGCACTCAGCTGCAAAAGTAATTTCTTATAGTGTCAGAGAGCAAATCTGTCTTACCCGTTTTACAATGAGTTCGCTCAGATAAAAGTCACTCGTACATATGAAGAATCAGATTCTTAGCTTATAGCTTCAAGTTTAATAGGCTTTCTTTGGATGTGCAGTATATGAATAATCAGTCTTAAACACTTGTAAACACTTTGAAAATATAGTGGAATTCAACATAGAAAGCATATAAAATCTTATTAAACAGTCTTAAACAGTCGTAAACACTTGTAAACACTTTGAAAATATAGTGGAATTCAACATATATATATATATATATACGGGTATTCTTAGCAACAACGCTGCAGATAAAATTGCTTCTTCCGAAGCATCTTATTTTAATGCTCGTGCTGTGATTCCTGAAGATCTGAGGGTAATTGACAAAAAGTATTCAATTCTTTCTTGGCAATTGCGATGGAATAATTCACCTTACAGTCGTCATTTATTCTTTAATTTTTAGAAATAAATGAAGCCCTTTTCTTTATCAATTGCGAACTCAGACGTGAGATTATTTGTGTTATTAACGGGTTGATCTTTAATTAAACGGGATGTAATGGTCGTTTATTCAAAATTAACAAAGTAAACAACGGTTTATCTACATGTGGCGTCTTATAATCTCCTGGTCGTATCTTATTTGTCTCGCCGAATGTTACCAGTTCTATTCGCCATTACGCACTTCGCAAATTGAATATATGTGGTCTTTGTGAGCACAGCAATCTTTCTTGACATTTTGCATTCTCGTAATTTAACATAAGCGCTTACAGTCAATTTATGAATCTATTCTCTTTTACACTTTTCTAGTCTAGCACCCATCAATTCCTTCATAGGACACTTTATACTCATATACTACATTACATCTTACATATCGGAATTTACTCCTCGCTGTTCTGTTCTACCCTACGTGGCGGACAAGTGATATGCATATTTTAATAAAAACTACAAAAAAAAAAATAACGTGGCGGACGTACAACACGCAAAACTAAAAAAAGACTTAAATCAAGTAATCACTGGAATAAATAAATAATAATATTATATATCAAAATCTACTAAGGCCCAAACGAAAAACTCTGTGTTCACACTGGGCCTTTTTTACACATCTCAGCGAATTTTCGGTTGTTAATTTGCTGAATAACAGAAGAAGAAAAAGAAGATATAATAGGAAGCATCAATGTCAACAAAAATGATGTTATTTTATTTATGTTAATTTTAAGTTAAAGTTAAGGAATAAGATATTAAACGCAATTGTGGATGATCTATATCTAGATCGCGAAACTCTTCGGTGAATGTCAAGATATAAAAACTAAATATCGTCGCCATTATCCATTCAGAAATAGAACTAATTACATGAAAATGCCAGCCTCCATCAGACGGATACCTTGAATACAGTACAATTTATATTGATTTTCGCAATCTTTTTTTTTTCTTGCAAACTTTTCATACGTACCATTTTCTTGGATTTTGTCCTCTAAACAAGATGTGAGACATGACTCCCGTCACAGCCATTAAAATAAATAGCATAGTGCAACAAGCAGCCATTGCTAAACGGAGGTGAGCATTACGTTTTGTGCCGGCTATGGGGTATATCATATATGAAATTAACGATTGTAGCCAAAAGTATAAAGCGCCAAAACCAAAACACAGAAATGCTCCTGTAAAATGTACTATTCGCACGTTTGTCTCTTGAAAATTGCCGACTATGCTAATGCCTAAGCAGGAAGACCATCCGAACCACACAGCCAAACGATTGTAACGCAATAAATTATTACCTAGATCGGAATGGTGCTCGAATAATTGCAATATTTGACGGTAACGCACATAAACAGTTATGCCCACTGCGATAATAAATTTATGAGTCATATAATAACGGAAATATTGTCGATACTTACGTAGAACACTACCCAAATTAATCATTTGTCCGAAGACGCAACTCTCAGGCGAATAAGTGGCCGCATCGCTAATATAAGGAACTGTTGGAACTACATGCCCTTGCAAGACTGCTGCTATGTAACTGCAAAGCGTTTTGAAAAGAAGTCAAATGAGTTTGAGATTTTAATCAGATTAGCAGCATAGTTTTTGTTTTCGTTTTTCGGCCTTGCTTACACTTACGTTCCCACAAAGGATACTTGGAAAACTAAGAATACCGCTACAGGTATTAAATAGACGTTAGACATTTCCGGTAAATTTACAGCAACGTATTTCTCACGGTATATACAAAGAAAACACCTTTTTGTTTAAGATGGAACGAAAACAAAAATCAATGTTACCTAAGTTAAAATGGTAACACATTTGCTGTGATTTGTTTATGTAGATTTCGGCAAACAACGGTGAATTTTATTGCAATATCACAACGAACTTGCCAGATCGAAAAAACATTGATGTTCTGAAAAGAATAGTACGCATTATTTGAAAAACTCAACGCGTAAATCATTTTTTGCTGATTTGCAGACTCCCGAAAGAAGAAGAACATTTAACGATAAAGCGATGTGAGCTTTAAAATTATGTATTACCTTATAATAATAAAATTTGAAAATAAAATTGCAAGCCTTATGACTCGCCAAACTTGGCAATGCTTTTTCGATATTCATAACAATATTTTTGTTTAAAAAAGCGGGTAAACTTTTAATCGAGAGAAGAAAAAAGACCAATTATAAAATATATAATTATAAAATGTTTTGTCAATGTCATTATCTGCAAATGTATCGTCAATATTCGTATGTTCAGTAGAAACTTGAGCAATTTTTCATGTCGCATATGCCAAAAATTTCTATAGACCTATATTCATATTGATATATATATATTGAACGGCGCGTTTTCAATAGCATTCGTCTCACGCGACAGGATACCAAATTTCATCAATATATCTCTAAAATTGCGGGTTGTAGGTTGAAATAAAAAAAGAATCCAAAAATCCTTTACAGCAATAAGTAATAATAATAATAATAATAATAATAACTGTATGGAATTAGCAAAATGGCCAATTAAAAGCAGAGTTGAAGAAAAAACACCACAGTAAGTAAATCTATGGAAAGGTTTCAAATATTATAAGTAATCAATTTTCTCAAAATATGAAAATTTCCAAAAGACTTAACCAAAAGAACAAAATTTTTACATAATTACTATAAAGTTTAAACAAAGCTTAAAAGTTTAGTTAATTTTTGAACGACAGCGAACCTTTTGAAATATTGGGGCCTTTTCAATCTTGAGATGAGCTTAAAAGTGTGACCCATGTTTTTTTCTACCCTTTTTTTCGTTTTACTTAACCAAACAATCAACATCGAACGCCGAAATACTTTTTCATTTTCTTTTTTTTAAACAGAAGATATAATATTCAATATGGGATTTGGAGGAACGCGTTCAAATCGTATAAAAATACGAAACAAGACAGGTATATGTTAATATAAATTCTTTTTAGAAAAATGTTTTGCTATAAATAAATAAAGAATTTAATTAGTTTTTAATTAATAGTAGGAAAGTAGGAGTAAACTCAATGAACAAAGAACGGTGGCATCAAAATGCATTCAACGTAAGACTATTTTGGGCTGACACATCTTAATCTCTTACTTCTACACGTATCATCTCCAGATAATCTCGTTTCATCATCTGGATCATCTGAAGTTGCGATTATGGAACTCCCTTTACTCATTTCTTCCATTTCGAATTGACTACCGCACCTCTTTGGTTCAATCAGCTGCCCATTAAGTGTGGGAAATGGTATGTTAGGCAGTAAAATTTTATTGTTGCATTCTTTACGTTCATTTACAAGTTTTTGTAGCAAATTGGCTATATCTTCCCGTTTACGACTCACCGTAATTGTGTCGAACCAATTGGCCAAATGTTTAATTGGGATACGATAATCCCGTATAGGATTGTTGAAAAACTCTTCCACATACTGCAGCAAGTACAAACCGCAATCCGTAGAATTATTTTGCTGAGGAACTTTTACGTGGTGGCCGGGCATGTTGTACTTGTTAAAAATGGTAGGCGGCATTCCGGGTAGTTTCACTTTATACTCACAGCTCAGAAAATCTCGCAGAGCAGCCATAACGCCCTTGTGTGATGTAACGGCAAACGAATCAAAAATTAAAATTAAGGGTTGCTTGATGGGTTCTGGTGAGTTATTTACTGGACTGATATATGTTGATCCCAGGCTCTCATCCCCTGTAACGTAAACATTAGCCTCACCGCAGTCGTTTTCTCGATGACGTTTCGGCAACCGTGGCATTTCAAACGGAAGATGAGTGTCAAATGTTACCGGACCTTTAAGGCTTGGAAAGCATATAATGGCTAAAAACCAATGAGAATTTTCGTTTATGGGTACAATTATGAAATCCTTTTCAAAAAGATTCACATTCTTCGTCCAATTTCGAACACGAACATAGCTTTTCTCATCATCGGTTTCATTCACATGTTTGTGGAAATTTATGTCTCTCGCAAAAGTGGACAAAGTTTGATAGAAAAGTGCGCTAAATATAAAAGTACGAGCCCTTTCAACTTTGGAAATGCGATCGTAAAACCACTTTAAATAGAAATCAATTATGATATCGTTTACATATTGATCAGTAGCCAAACACAAATAATCTATTGTTTTAATGGAAATACCACCTCTTCCAGGGGGATAGATCAATAATTGTCGATTATCGTTGGATTGCAATTGCGTAATGCTTAAATTAGTTTCATTGGTTCCGTTGTGACCAACAAATTTGGGATCCGATTGAGTTGCCCGCTGTAGGAATCTCTGTGCATCAGAAAAGGATATTTCATCGAGGGAATTCCATATAGAGCGAATAATGCTGCCAGTATGATCATCAATGGAATCCAGTTGCAAAATAATGACACGTGCTTGATGCAGAACAGTTGAAAAATTCGTCATTTCTTCAAGTAAGGCTGGAACATCAGATACTCTTAAGACATTTTTGATATATTGAGCGCAGCTACGCAAAATAAAAAAGCATAACATGGAATTTTGTACTAAAGAAAAATGCGCAATAACTTTGGCCACCTCTTTTTTGTAAATATTCAAAGTGCACATCTCGTTGGGATTTTCTTGAAAAGGAGCTACAATCCGTATTCCTTTTGAATTAACAACTACCGGCTCTTTGGGTTCAAAAATATGAAGGCCCAAACGAACTAGTTTGCAGGTTAACACAGCAGTTAATGGATCAAATGGATCATTGCGATCACTAAGATCCGACCGTTTAAAATTGCAAATATCCATTATATTAAAGAAAAACCACAGTTTTTTTTTTTTTTTTGGTATGGTGAACAGAGATGGACTAAGCCAATAGATTTGTGGCTTATATGTCCAAATAATAATAAACTGTTGTAACTTTTAGTCACGATTATGTATAAAACGTAACAAAAAAATAAGCGCGGCCGTAATAACGCGGAGTGATCGTGTTAAATGTAGTTGTGTGTGTGTGTAATTGTGCTTGTTGATTTCTTGAAAGTTAAACAGTGTTGCAAACTTTGGCTGAAAACGAAAAGCAATGCTATGGTAATAGGAGATTATTAAACGCACAAACGAAAGAAAAAAAAAAAAGAAAGAGGAAAAAAAAAATTCTAAAAGGATAAATTAGCTTTTCTAATAAAGCAACTTAGTTCCCCGAGATGACGTACATTATTTGCTGCAAAGAGATCGAGAAGACAGCCATATAACTTGAAGAAGTTAAAGGAATCTCTAATGCCATCAAGCCTGTGACATCTGAAGATTAGATGCTCAGCAGACTCAACAACATTGCAAACTTCACAAACATCACATGGTATGGCGCGAATCATTTTTAAATAAACTTTGTCATAAGTGTGATCACTCATGAGTCTATAAAGAATTTTGATTTCCCAGGAATTAAAAGAAGATACAGGGAAGGGTTTAAATTGAAATGTGGGATTTAATTTATAGAAAAGACGATTGGATTTAACGCGCGCGATTACTTTAAATTCGTCGTTTAGCTGTTGAAGAATGTGGTTGCGAATTGCCCGAATTGCTTCATTGGGAGCATATTTGATGGACAAAATCAACACGAGCTCTCCCTGCATGAAAGTCGGCTTTTACATTTAAAAAACAGCGGCCACAGTGGCCACATAAAGTTAGCGAAATTTTTTGATGGATTACGCGATAGAGTTGCCAGCACCCACGTTTTTGATCAGCGTTGGTTAGCGAGGACATTTTATTACCTTTTTCTTATGTTTGGGAAAATAATACATGATATAAGTCGATGTTGCAATACAATATAATATAAAAAAAAAAATTAATTGACGCAATATGACACATAAAATTAGACAAATAGCATTTAAATTTGGAAAACGTCTTTTTTCATATTATTGTTTTTGCCTTTCTACCTTTTTTATTATTTTATCTCCGGTCAGTGTGATATGTCTTCAAAAGTAACGTGCCCTAGTTCAAATAGAGAAAGCGATGACCGAAAATTTAAAATTCTTGAATACCTAAGAAAACATGACCTTTTGAAACATTGTTCGCGTCTTCTGGCTTGAGTCCCTTCTGACTTTTATTGGCTCCGAAAGGCAAAAATATACTTACATTTAAGAGCTTTCCCAATCGATGAAAATATTCTAGTAACTATCGATTAGCGTTTAACTCAGAGATAAGAAAAAAAATTGAGAAAAACAAGGAAAAAACATGCTTATACATTAGAGAATGAAAATAGTACTTGATTTGCATCTAGACATGGGAATAGACAATAAAGTATATGGTATAATCCATTTCTTGTTCTGTTCTTATAGCCCATATTGTCAACTTTGTCTAAACTTCGATTTACTTATCGTTACCGTTCAGCGATTTAATCCAATTTTCGTTACTCGCCAAAGATTCACCATTAAGTGGTTTCCACTAAAGTATTTAAGAATGTGTGGCATATATACTTTATGGCTTTTCGGTTGACTAGATGTTACGAATCGCACAACTAATTTATATTAATTGACGCGGGTGTGAAAATGGCGCCAACTGTAATTTATATTGAGGTTCTACCCTCAAGCGATAACATTAGAATAAATTGTCTCGTACAGCGAGATCACATTAACCTTTCTAGGGACTTGTTCTAATCGTTTTGTTTTTTGCGATCTATGCAAAATTCAATAGATCGTATGTCTCTTCTCTCTCCCCCTTTCTTTGAATAATCTCGTGAAAAGTACATATAAGGAAGATTTTTCTTTGAAATCTTTTCCTTTATTTGGTGGAATAGTTAAATGTGTTTCTCTTGCATAAATCCTTCAAAAAAAAAAAATAATATATATATTGTGTCGCGTTGTGTTCTACTTTGTTACAAATCGCTCAACTAATTTATTATGGCTATGATAGGTTCGAGAACATCAGCAATTATAATAAATATTGGGGTTCTATAGCTTTGCCCTGAAACATTGTTTTATTGATAAGCCGGGACGTTCGTTTAAACGTACTTACGTACGTACGCACGTACGTACATATTGTGCTCCAGTATGTAAGACAAGTGATAAGAAAATTACGCGTTGCTTTCTTGTAAGCTAGAGAAAGAAAGAAAGAAAGAGAGTAAGGCATTTAATAAAATGCTTTAAACTAACTTTAGTTATTCAATTGATTTGAAAGAAGAAATTTCTTGTTTTTAAATGAATAAAATTTCAATTCTTAGGTGTATGCAAAATGTGTATTTAAATTTAATAAAGTGACATTATGTATAAAGAAGAATAATAAGAAGAAGAACAAGAATTTAAATCAATAAGTTTATTTGAATCTGAAAAATATGTACATATGTATGTAAGTTACATTACGATTCATTTCCGTCCATTAAAAGATCGTTTTAATGCGTTTAGAAATGAATTAAAATTTTTCATTTTACATAAAAAGTTAGATTTAAAAGTTTATGTGATCGAACTTAAAATAAATTGCGGTATAGGGAACTCGGCAGTAGATGGCTGCTATAATATATTTCAAAGAGAATGAAATGCTATAAAAAATGTATTATTCGCTCAATCGCTTAGACCGGAAAGATAAGCAGACTTAGACCCGTGCTTAAGATTACCGGTAATTAACTAAAAAAAATTGATCAAAATACTTGCTCTTTATTGAGACTTCTAATCTTTTTTATTATCAACGATCAGCCTAAAACTATTAGGTTGACGTAACTTTATCGTTTCAAGCTCTCTCAACACAAATTCAGTTAATATAAAGACCGGCAAACTGAAATGAGATCTTTCGGAGTCCGCAACGTTTTACTTATATGAATCTTTTTATTAAATTTTAACTCGTATCTGAATTATATCGAAATTAAATAAAAGGAGAGGCATTAGTTTTTCGCATTGTTAAGGTAAAGTTTAATACTTTTGATCTATGGGCATTGCCACACAAACGTCCATATGTCTGGTCTAGCATCAATCTATTACCGGAAACAATATATATTCAATATATGTATATATATTTATATATCTATAAGTATTAAAATTCCTTAATTATTAAAGAAAATAGCAGTAGAACCTTAACAACGCGGCCGATACGACGAGTGTAAGTTTTTTTTTAGAAGGACGCGTGCACCTATCGTGAATGCCTGCTATATAAAGCTACATATATAAATAGAATTGAAACCTTCATTGGAAGGAATAGAAAATAGAAAAAATAAATAAATAAATAAATAATTTTTATATATAAAGAAGAGATAAAGAAAAAATATTGTGAAATAAACGTGTTGAATGAAAATTTTCTGAGGAATTTCTTCTTCTCTTTTCATTCTTTTTTGTTTAAAACAAATGATATAAAAAATCATAACTTATTTTCAACGATCCCTTTTAAGCGTATACAGCCATAAAAAACAAGTGAGAAAAGTGGAGCCACTTAAGTGAAAATGAATTATGAGTTGTTCGGTGCCTACATGCAAAGCCTTTGCTCTTAACTTTAAACCCGTATCCGTCATCTATAGTTTAAAATTTATAAATGATTGTTGAAAAATGTTCACGTTTGGTTTTATTCTTCAATATTCTAACGATTAGGTCATTAAAAGTGAATTTGGGTCGGATCTCTGCAAAAGTGTTATTCAGAATAGTTTTCTTCTGAAGCACGTGTTTTATTTCGATTTTCAATCGGTTCAGAATCGTTTTCTTCTGAAGAATCCGCTTTATTCCGATCTTCAATCGGTTCAGAATCGTTTTCTTCTGACTCTATTGGAGCATGTCCGGCTTTATTAAAAACTGCACCCATGATCATTGAAATTGTTAGTCGAGACTCTTGCGAACTCGGCCACTTAGCCGAATTTAACGACAATTAGTACTAGTTTTCGTACATTTAAATATATAATTATTTATAAATTAAAGTGCATTTCTGTATTCCTTTTCCTCAAAATGTCAAAGAAAGCACGAAAACACAAAGAAATCTCTCAAGAGGTTAGAAATGTGATTATAAAGTTTAGAAGCGGGTAAAAATCGTACGGAGCAATAGCAACAACAATTGGAAATACAATGACACAAATACCACAGAAAATAAGCACCGATCAGGCTAACTAAAGAATCCTGCAGAGCATTAAAGAGGAAATATCATTAGAATTTTGACAAAAGAAGTGATATTCGGAGGGACTTCATATCGGTGAATAATGTGTTGCGAACCGGACGTAGTTCGTTGCCAAAAAAGATGCATTCTGTTACTTTTTTGGATATCCTTAGCGTCTTTTGCGCAGCAAACCTACAGATCGATTAACTGCTGTTAGTAGCGTTTGGTATCAACGGCTTCGCCACACTTTAACAGAGCACAACGTTCACTTTACACCAGTCAGACAGTGTGATCGTCTTACCAAAACGAATGACTTCCTTTTGTATCGTTCCGTGGGAGAATATTTGTAGACAAAAACTCGATATTTTCGTTGGTAGAAAATATATTTTTGTCTTTCAATATGTACTCTACACGTTGTGTTAGCCATCTATTTCTCAAATGGTCACTTCAAACTTGGACTTATAATGTACACTGAAACTCTCCGTGAACGAAGCTGTCCATCTATTTTAGTTATGTTTCGTAAGTATTAAGTACTTTTCAGGTCCTCACAATTTCTAAATTCAATAAGCGGCGCTTTAACCAAAAGTTTCGCACATCAAAAAATCCGTTCTTTATACATCAAATTATTCTGCAAAATACTCTACACAACTTCTCTTAAGAAAGTTATTCGTATAACGACTTTTCAAAACAAGGCGTAGAGCATTTTTGTTGCTTTGCTGTTTATTAAAAATGTCCTGCAAATTTTTCAAGTGCGTTTGGGGAATCGGATCCAAAAAGCAACCTGTGTAGTACAAGTTTAATCCTTACATAGGAAAGGATCCAAAAGTAGGCGTAGATTACAATTTTTTTCCATATAACTATTTTTCAGAATAGGGCATTATATGGGGATTGGTAGAAAATGTGCACCGATCCGAACCATTTTCAATAGCTTTCGTCCTTGGGTGAAAACACGTCACTGTACCAAAGTTCATCAGCAGCTTGAACAGAAGTTCACATGGGCAGACATCAGATGGACAGGTGGACAGATGTACAGACAGGCTTAGATCAACTCAGATTATGATTCTCAACCGATCGGTATAATAAGAGGTGGGGCTATTTTAAGCTCTTCTGCTTGTTACAAACGTTCGCGCTAACTTAATATACCCTGCCCCAGAAGTGGGGTAGAATATAATGATAAGAAAAATTTGAGAAAATTTTCATCAACAAAAAAAAAAATGAAATACTTTTAATAATTTTACACTCGTTGATCATCAATATATGTAGACCAGTTAGTGGCCAGTCTTCGATGCATAGCCCTTCTGACGTATAAGTACTTATGGTCGATATTTTAGTGATAACTTAGTTAGTAAGCACAGTGCTTGTGCAATACTTTATGTATTGACACATGGTACAGCTTTTTCTAATGGTCGTTTATACAGCTTTCGGTGCCTCACTCAATTATGACGAAAAACATTTATTTGTGGGCACAACGTGGTGTCGTTATTGCTTTCGGCTCGGTTTTCATCTCAGCTGGAATATACTTGTATTTAAACTGGATTGATATTTTCACACGGGCCCGCGGCAAAGTAAGTACATATTATTCAATTTATTTAAAATATTAACCGGTTTTACAACAGGTAGATAATAGCACAAAAAAATATTATGTGAATTTGCCTATAATTTGCATTTGATATTAATTTTTTATCAATTTCAAACCAAAGATAATCGTTAAGTAAACATTTTGATTAAAAAGTACGCACTTAATCCCGTTACAAACGAAGTTTTTAATTAATAAGTTTTTACAATTGCTTCCCGTTGCAATGATCGAAAAGCACATATCGCATATGTCAATCATGATCTGTTGTGTGTACTTTGTTGCCCATTTCACCATAAAATTGCACATAAATATATTTATTAAAGGTCATTATTGTAAAAAACAATTAAAAAACTTATAGTCGAGCAGGGTCGATCGTTCAATACCCTACATCACTTCGGTCAAAAGAATTGTTTAATGTAAAATACAAAAAAAATTATGCTTCCTCCGAGTAGTCTTGGAAGAGTATGGAAGAGTGCTTAAAATGTGAATTAACATAGGTAACACAGGTTTAACAAAATCTTCTTACTGTAATTCACCTGTTTATATCGTTCCCCACTTATAATACATGATATAGTAAGCGGTATGCGACGTAGGTAATACCCAGAAGGGCTTAGGATCGACTTATTTTCTGTTAGACCAATGGAACTTGTCTGTCCGCCTGTCCGTCTGACGTCTACTAATGTATTTTGATGAAATTTGGTACACTGAGATGCTTTGATCCAAGGACGAATGTTAGTGAAAATGGCTCTGATCGTTCTAATTTTTCCACCACTAAGGTTAATGGAAAAAAAATTTCCATTTTGAAAATTTTTCGACAAAAAACGCTGAGTTATAATAATTTCCTATTCCAGATTGGCATGAGAAACTTGGTTCGTTTGGAGCAATTTCTGGAATTCCCTCTCATTTAACCATTCCTATGAAAACTGATTTAGTTTATATGGTAAAAATTTATGTTTTGAATATTTCATGGTGAAAATTGGTTCATAGTAGTAAATTAACAAAAAATCAACATTACCGAATTTGGACCGCATAGGTATATTTTTTGAATACTACAGCATATAAAGATTCTCAGAAAATGTAAACCCTTATATGCCAAAAAGGCCCAATTGTTAATGTTTTGTGATGAAAAATTGCTCACATGGGTCTACTTCTTAGACCCCACTCTATATAAGATTTCTCATAAATATTAAATCCTTCATAAAATGGTTCAATTTTTAACATGTTACTATGAAAATTGTTCTTCAGTAGAAATGTAGCAAAGAAATGAAGGGTGGGGAATTTGGATTACATAGATCTATTTTTCAAAACCTTACCATATATAGGGGTTGTCATGAAAAGCCCTTATATGGAGAGAAAATCTACTTCATAGTTTTTATATGGTAGAAATTGACAAATAATAAAATTTTTGGAAAGTAAATGAAGTTTGCTAAATTTGGGTCCGTCATCTGATGTTTTAGACGTCCGGGCTTTGGTGGAAAGTGGCCCTTGGCATAAAAATCATTCCCAGTTTTTGGTATATTATTACTAAAACGAGTGAATCACGAATGAATGGCCGAAATGGTGTAGGGTATCTAGAGGGTCGTCTCCGCCCGGCTATAATGTTTTTACTTGTTTAATAGTTAGGAAAGTTAATAGGTAGGAAAGTTTTTATTGTGTGTGTGTGTGTGTGTGTGTGTGTGTGTGTGAGAGAGAGAGAGTGTATAAAGTCCCAAAACCTATGACAAGAAAACAAATTGCTTTGCCTTATAACTAGTGACCGCTCGCAGCGCCAGACAGCGACTGCGTATTTAAGAATTAGTGCTGGAAAATGAATCCTCTGTCTTAAGTCGTCCGCCTTGTCTAGCGTGATGGGATTTGAATATCTTTTGTGTTAGTTACTCGAAGTAATTAAAGCCACCGAATATCCGTCGGTCAAACAGTTTCCGTTAATTCAAATACCGCCAAATGTATAAAATATGCGTATCATTTTTACATAATTATATAAAATTAATTAAAATAATTTTATAAATTGTTTAATGTTAATTTTATAGTTGGTGAAGCATCTTTATATTAATTCATACAAATGGATTAGAGTTAATGTGAGGTGTGACTATTTATAAACATACACACGCAACTTTGTAAAATGAAGAAATATATAATATAAAAGACTGATAAGCGATTAGTAAAAAACGACTCACATAAATATATGTGTTGATCAATCAAAGCAGTTGAAATTTATGAAAAATATATCACATGTGCTGTTGGGTATAAATATCGAAAAAATATATTATTATTATTATTATTATTGGTTATCTACAACAATGATATAAATTCTAGAAATAAAATGTAGGATTAGCAGAAGCAGCTGTGACCATCGGCCTTTTCTTTTAAAGATAGACGAGATGATTAGTTTAGTCGATTTAATAAATTAATTTAAATAATTTATTGAATCTGGTACTATGTTCACTCCGAATACATTCAAGATGTCCTTACGGCAAGGCCCAAAGAAATTCCTCTTTCTTTATGTTCAAAACTTTCTTGAAGGTATTATTATATCAATCAATAAGTCTCCAGTCTAGTGCAAATATAGCAACACTGCTGGCATACCTATATCAGTTCTGGATAGTACCAATATTCAAATGACGCTTGTCAAAATGTCACGACCACAGTGTTAAAATGATTCGAGGCTTGGGTCGAAACATGTCAGTGCTCCAAATCCGAAATGTCTCAAATATACGTGGGCAAACATCGAGCGAACAGACAGAAAAACAAGCTTAAATTAATATAATGAAAGATGGATCTATCTCAAGTACTTCTTGGTGCTGTATATACAAGTAGTGTAGGGTAAATAAATGGAATTTTATCTCGGTTTAGGTAGTCAAGCGCAACCAACATGGCTGCATTGCTACTCTAGTCGTTTATGAGAAATTAATTTATTTGTTTACATTGAATATTTTAGCAAATGTTCCTGGGACCTGAGTCGCCGGCATTTAGCGATTGGAAAACACCACCGCTCCAATTAAATTTAGATCTGTACTTGTTCAATTGGACAAATCCTCAAGACTTTCATCGAAATTCAAACAAAAAACCACATTTTGTAGAGTTAGGTCCGTATCGGTTCGTCGAGAAAGTCGAGAAAGTCGATATCGTGTGGCATACAAACAATCATTCCGTGTCGTATCGTAAGAAATCGGTATTTCATTTTGACCCTGAGAACAGCAAGGGAAGTTTAAGCGATAAAATTACTAGCGTGAACGTTGTGGCCCATGTATGTATACATACATCTTTCATATATTTCTTCCTAGGACGAATGTAATAATTCTCTTGTCTTCTTGTCTTTTACAGTCGATCGCGTTAAAATCTAAAGATGATAGTAATTTTCAAAAAATGCTAATCGCACGAACCCTAAAAATGTATAACGCTGGCGTATCAATTACAAAAACAGCCGATGAATGGTTATTTACTGGTTACGTTGATCCGTTTCTAAGTTTAGGAAATCTGTTATCTAAATTTAATAAAGATGTGAAAATACCTTATGACCGAGTAGGCTACTTATATACGGTTAGTCGTCAAGCAAATCATTTAATTGAGTTTTTCGATGATATTTTAAGAAAATCCTTGTTTATATATAGCGCAATAATAGTGCGACTTATGATGGCCACTTTAATGTGTTCACGGGTGCCGACGATATAAGAAAAATGGGACAGATTCACACGTGGAATTACAAAAAGCATAGCAGGATATTTGAGGGTGAATATGGTCAAGTTACAGGGTCGATGGGTGAGTTTTTTCCACCGAACTTAACACCTCAGGATACTTTGTGGCTGTTCGTTCCTAATATTTGTCGAGCGGTACCTTTCGATTACACGGAAAGCGTGCAAATTCACAATGTTAATGCCCATAAGTACAGCGTTGGAGAAAGACTACTGGATAACGGTAACTTACGAAAGAAATTTTTAAAAGACTCTTTCATAGTTTTACAGATTTTCGGATAAATGTTTTTTAGGAACATTATTCCCTTCAAATAAATGCTTTTGTATTGGTGGCAAATGTGAGCGTTCCGGGGTGCTTAACATTGGCGCCTGCGCATACAATGCATCGATGTATATATCCTTGCCCCACTTCTATAAAGCTGATCCCTACTATTTGGATGCGATTGAAGGCTTGAAGCCAGAGAAGGAAAAGCATGAATTCTTTATGACCGTAGAGCCAAACTTAGGAGTTCCTATGGATGTAGGTGGAGGATTTCAAGGAAATTATCTTTTGGAACCAATAGAATATCTACCGTGAGTGAATTTTTTTTTTATAATTCAAATTTTATCCTTTGTGCGTTAATTAGACTTTAATTAATTATTAATCATATTAAGTTCAGTCCCTCTATTTATAGCTCATTTAAAATCATTTAATACAGTAAAAGCTCCTTATTCGCGCTTTCTTTATTTGCGGTTTCACTATTCGTGGATTAAAAAAATGCGACTCAATTCCCATATTCGCGGCTATAAATTCCTTTATTCGTGAATTTTTTTGTGACTGTTTCCGGAATTGTTTTGTTTCTGAAGTTGAAACTTATTTAAAAAAACAGTTTTAGACTTTAAAGCACTTCTAGTTTTGGACAATGCACCAGGTCTTCCTCGCGAACTTGAAATTATGCGTCCAAACATAAAATTGACATTTTTACCTTCCAATACGATGGCTTTGCTTCAACCTATGGGCCAACGAATAATCGACGCCTTTAAGCTCTATTACATTAGACGAACCTTCAAAATCATATTGGATAATATAGAAGGTAATCCTGATATGAATGTTATGGAATGCACGAAGAAATTTGTCGTAGCAAAATGCTTCGTAAACATAAAAGAATCATTAGAAGAACTGAAGCCACACACATTGAAGCCATGCTGGAAAAAACTGTGGCTTGCTCTGACTGCGGAAAATGACGAAGAATCTGTGAAAGTTCAAACTATGACTGCAAACATAGCCGAAATCGCCAATGGAATAGGACGAGATGGGTTCGAACAGATAGAATCAAGTGACATTCAGGAATTGCTTGAATCGCAAGATGAAGATTTGACTGAAACCGACTTGGAGGAAATGTTAAATTCCCCGCCTATTGAAGAAGAGGCTTCAACAAGCACTGGAAACGTGACATTTAATTTGAAAAGTCTTAGTGAAGATTTAAGAATGGCAAACGAGCTTCGCGATTCTATGGAACAGAGTCTTATTTTTGTACGGCAAATTGCTAATGCGACTGCAGCCTATCACTCTGATTTGAATTGAAGGAGCTTTTAAAAACTGCCAAGCAAGAGAAACTTGCAAAATTCTTCAAACCATTACCTAAGCCTTAAGATAATTATTCAAGATGTTCAAAACCTTCAACTAAATTGATTTTTTTATATAATTGATTTTATTTTATTTTGTCACCTAGGAACGTATCCTCTATAATTCCATATAAATTACCATTCCGTATTCACGGTTCCTGTATTCGAGGCAATTTTATGGGACGTATTACCCGCGAATAAAGCGCTTTTACTGCATTTATCATTTACTGCATTTTACTGCATATTAACAATTTATAGTCTTCATATCCTACACTGCTTATGGTACAGATTGTACTAAGTTTGCGCTGATGTACGTAACGTTCAGAGGGACTTAAGACAGACGTACAGTTTATTATACCGATCGATTCAGAATCATTTTCTGATTCAATTTAAACAAGTTTGTCCGTCTGTCCGCCCAGGTATTCTTGTGTTGAACCTATAGGCCGAGTTTTTTTTGATGATACGCCCAAGGACGACTGTTATTGAAAATGGTTCAAGTTACACGCTTAAGGGTTGCTTGCTTAACTTCGATTATTTTCTATCATCCGATTGTTGTCCATTTAAGCATCTTCCGACTCGTAAAAAATTTTGAGCGGAAAATATCCTTACTTGGAGAATAAGGTACCGTGGTCCTCAGGACTATTGACAAATAATTAAGGTGCTCTTGATCGATGATGAATTGTGTGCAATCTTTCGTCGTCTGATGGTTGGAAGTGTGATTAAACATATATATATATATTTTTATTCGACGTAAGATTTGAAGTCTTCATCGATTTAGGCCAATCTGTCCGTACATCCGTGTAGCCGCATTTGCCTGTTATTAGAACACCCAAAGTAGGAAAAATGGCAGAAGAAAATTAAGGCTTGGCATTTATACGCTCACCTGATACTTCAAGTTAAAAAAAAAATGGCGAAAAGTAACTCACTACAAATATCCATATAAAGTTTATCGCAAATACTTAGATACCGGAAGCTTGGCATGGCCATCCCAAAAAGCATCCACAATAAGTCTTGCATGTAAATCTAAAAAAAACTTGACAGAGCTATCTAATACGAGAAATGTAACACGCTAATTGCCAAGCTGCCTCAAACCACAGCAAGATTTATTCACTTTTTCAATTGTATTAACTTTTTATATAAGGGATATGTCCCTTGCTTCCTAAAAGGCGTTTGTTTAATATTCATTCTTGTTATTATGTTCTTATTTTAGGCCTTTTGATCGTGTACAGCGCGCATTTATACCACTAATGTGGGGTGAAGAAAGAGTGCGGGTCCTACCTGAAATGGCGGAAGGTATTGGTTTGGTGCCGATGATCATACTAATTGGTCACATATTTACTGGGGCATTATTAGCCCTTGGTGTGATATTAATATGCTGGTATCCAGCGAAATCAATAACATCCAACTATTTGTGTTCCAAACAAAAAGTAGGCTTTTTAAAACGAGTTACTTCGAATGCGAATATGAAAACGACATCGTTACCACGGAAATCGTCAACCGATTTAGAAAATACAGATTTGCTGCAAAAGAACAAAATCATTATTTTAGGAAGTTAAGTCTCTATAACTCTAGTGTAACTTAAATACCTCGTTTCGATTTTAGCTAAAATTATAAGTTTTAGGTGCACAGCGTATATATTTTTTAAGGGAATTAAAATGTTTTTTTATTCAATAATAGATTTTTTTTAGTTACGGGATTTTTTTAAAAATAAACTGATTAAAATTACACCTATGCTAGCTAAACTGAAATATAATAGAGAAGTGCAGGGTCCAATACCAAGCGAATTGCATACATTCGTTCGTAAGACTGGCAAATTTAATTGCTTCTCTAAAGCAACGGGAACATCCAGATATACTCTATTCGGGCCAAAGGATAAAATCAATTCTTTTAATTTTTCCGTATCAACACAATCTGACGGCGCCGACCATATGGTAATAGTGCAGTGATTTGTAACTTCCACTTCTCGGATAAGGTCACGTAAAACCTTTTTGCTATTGGCAGCTAAGCCTGCTCGCAATGGAAACGTTATGGAGAGACCGGATTCGTTGATTTTGTTTTCACTTATAACGGTAAGCATAGCTGTAATATCATCAGGAGTGTAGAAATCGTCAATGTGACCTTCACTGGTAGTCCAACCTATTGAAAGAACAGCTTTTTTAAATTGCTTGCAACCAGTCAGGAAACGTTTTGGATCGACCGGATGCGCGCGAATTCCGTTACCGGCATGTTCAATAATATCAGCATTCAGCCAGACAGGATAAGTCATCTAAAAAATTAATTGCTTTTAGGATATCTTCTTCTATATGTTATTGAGAAAGACGTACCTCTGGTATTGCAAACTTTAAGGTATCCAAAGCTCCTTCAAACACTTCTATAGATTTGAAATCTAATTTAATGCCCTTCATTTTGATGGGGCTGTTAAGATTAAAGAGTTTAACTTGCAAAAGAAATGAATCTAAACTTAGATCAGAGCTTGTAAGCGGTGGATGAGCCATTATTGGGACAACAGGACCGTTGTTGAAGAGTTTACCCAAAACGATATCAGCTTCAATCATATCATAATCACCTGAATTTAAAAGATATATCAAGTACGATAAAGAGTTTACGCTTCCTTACTTGCCATTTAAAGCTTCATCCAATAATTGTTGACAATTAACAGCATGAGCCCATTTTACGGCCAGAAGATTACGCGCTCTTTCCTTTTCAGTTTTTTTATCATCATCGTGAACAGAAGATTTTGTTTCGAGCGGGGCATACATCAATTCCGACGATCCATTCAATTTGTGGAATAAAGCTGTAAATATATGATTATAAGCATTATTGAAAATATCTCTTAGCCCCATAAAGCATCTTACCAGGAAACGCTTCCTCATATAGCATTTTCAATTTTATTAGTTTTTATTTAAAAAAAAGCTTTCAAATACTCATGCAATACAAGCTAATGTAAAAATATATTAAACTGTCACAATTATTGAATTTTTATCAAAAAAAAAGTTTGTTTTCTTTTATTTAATTTTCTAACAGCAAAGAAAAAGGCGAAATTGCATTGCCTAAAATCAAAGTAAACACATTAGTATGCGAACATAGTTTTCTCATAACTCTTCGCTCTACTAGTTTCCATACACAAAATGATGCTCTCTTGATTTCAATACTCACAATTTTCTAACAACCAAAGCAAAAAAAAAACGCAATCCTTATCTTACCTTAGCTAGTGGAAAAGCAATATTTGTAAAACCTTTCTCTGTTTTAGTTTACATATAAAAAAAACAATAACTCTCTTCTTCCGTGCTTTACTTTCTCCGACTTTCTAATAACAAAGTCAATATAC